TGTAGCATTTGCCCAACGCAGGTGCTGCAAGTGCTCCAGCACATTCCAGATAAGCGCAACCATGTTATCCATACATATAACCATCCATACCTTATAGACGAGCCTTGGTAAATCGTGCTTGCACTGAAACATTGTTCGGTAGGTGGATAAACGAGCCAAAAGGGCACAGCTTGCGGTGAAACGTAGTCGTGCGCCGATCGTAGGAATGTAATGCGATCTGGAAAAATGCGCCAACGAAGTCATATGGTGGGAAGACCGCTATCCCATGCAAGTAGTCAAGTAGTTCATCGATCCGGGGAATCGAAAAATTTTGCTTCAGTGTGATCTTGTGGGCTTCAAGCAGACACGCACATAATCGTCCTCCCGTCATTTCCTTATCCAGCACCCGGTTGCGTCAAAATGCACAATGAGACGGTTGAATTCGATTGCATTTCGTCCTTTAAGCTAAATTTCATTGGGATTTCCTGCTTGCCAGTTTAATTATCCAACGTATGTGGGGCGCGTGAACCTCACAACAAAGCTTGGGGATGTTCCAGGAGTGAGCTCGCTGCTGTGATTCTTTTGTCCAGCTGGTGGCCAACCTATTGTAATCTCCTCGTTATTAAGTTTGGGTGCAAAGCCCTCTATCAAATTCGTTGTTTCTGTTCTTTCTCTGGTGTTTAGCGCGACTGCTCCGCGCGTTGTGTAGTGCGCAGGCGCTACAGTGATACTCTAACGGTCGTGCACCAGCACAACAATAGTGATCAAATTGGTCCTCTAGTGGGCTATCAGCAGAAAAGGTAGAAGAAAAAGCCTTATGGAAAATGGGTAAACTAACACTATATGGAAAATAAGATCATGAGGCTAAGGCTGTTTGTCAGAACCCCAGGGTTCGGGGCTGGTTGTGATGCTGGCACTGCCGCCCAGGCGCCGACCCGCGTCAGGAAAGTCATTTCTACTATTTTTGGCTTACGTTTTTAAGATTATGAGACGAGCATGCGTTTTAAAGGCTGTGGCTTGCTATTTTAGCCTAATCTAGAGAATCTTCGCAGAGTGTAGCGATAGATGTAGAGTGTAGGTGTGTAAAGGGTAACACGCAGTAACAGCTGTGAGAGAGCTGTTCACTACAATTGGGGGCTGCTCCGGGGTATTAGAACCCGAGACTGCCGAGATCAGTAGGTCGGTTTGTTAGCGGAACCATTTCGTCAGAGACAGGGGCATCCATGCGCCCAAACAACGAGAAGATCCTAGATGCGGGCCAGAGACAGGTCCGAGAAGAGTGGGATAGTACGAGCTTCACGACAATGTCGGATGGTATTGAGGTATGTGCAATTGCCGAGTGATTGGCTCACGTAACTCTACTCCCTGGGAGTGTCCAGTAGTCGTGACATGCAATTCCAAGTCTTGTTGGCGCAGTTGCCTTGGGAAAGGGGAGACAACATGGCAGCCTTCCTTGATGTAATGGAGCTTCGGTTCACGAAGATGGACCAGAGGGCCCGAGAATGGCGACGCAATGGATGCGCAAGGACTGCGGGAAATTGAAGCACTACTTGCTGGTAGATTTAGGTAAGGATCGGCGGCTGGGAAATCGTACAGAGTATGCTGAGTGATTCGTAACTGTAGTATTGGTGGTGGTTTTCAGGGACGGTCTGCAGTAGCTCACGACAACTCAACAAAGGCCAGACACGTCAGAAGTCCAGCACATATTGCGCACCATGAGCCTGGGGGCCGAATGAAGCGTGTGGATCACCGTCTCCGAAAAGCACCAAATTCGCTACGGATTCCCTTGTACCGAACTTGCAACAGAGAACTGCCGTCAGTCTTGGAGGCGGTGCCATTAAGTATAGAGAAGGAGAAGCGTATAACGTACCTGTCAGGCGAGTCCACCCGTAGAGGGGGTCTTCCCAAGGTAGTGGGTCACGATGCTCCAGACTGATTCGTACTACGTCAGAGCATGGAGTGCGGTTCCGTTTAGGAGAGATGGCAATATCAAGCGTACGAATTGCGGGACACTATTGTTCGCATTGTTTGATTGAGGGCTTCGCGTATGTTTGTTTGTACAACGTGGAGCATTATGACTCATGGACAAGCATTGATTGAAGAATTTGAGTTTACCGTGGCAGGGGGGCCAGCGGTGTGAGCAAAACGAGAGTACGAGAAGTAGACCGGGAGTAAGGCAGATAACGTTCCGAATGGTTGCTTGGTGGCACTAATACCGTCTGATTTATTGCTAGGGCTCGATTGGTTAAGAGATTATGGATTGGCGTGGTATTATCTGTCGAGTAGCTTCCGTAGGTAAGTAAATGGCAGGTGGTTGTTTGCTCTCATGGGATAACACCGAGAGATAAGGGTATAGCAGTGGAAGAGAAGGAGTCCCCAGATGAGGTCTACAACAACTTTGGTGCAGCACGACTCGGGGATAGCGGAGACGGACGTTTCTGTCTCCCAACAACCTCCAAGGCGGATTAAGCACAGGAGCGGCAGTGGGCTGTCTACCGATTAGGGATGACCAAAGAAAACCTTCTAGTAGTTAAGAAGTGGAGTATATTTTGGATAAGCATGGGGAAGCTGACCACGTAGAATACCTCGTCAAGTAGCCCACCGCGCCGTTGGACAGGCAGTCTCTCCGCGAAAAGTATGATGGGGAGGGATGCTCGTACCCTCGCAGGCATTCCCCTCTCGCACGTGATATCATACAACCTGATGGGGAGTGTCCCAAACCGTGGGAAGGAAACGCAAGGAGGGTGCCAGGGATACGCGGAAAGGGAAGCATGAAGCTAAGTACAGATTCGCAAGCCAAGTCAGGGACCCCGGACAAGTGGCAAGTGAGCACTGATCACTACACACTGGGCCGCCGTTAGGACGTTCCTCTGACCGCCTTGTTTATCCCTCTGGAGGCTCCCCTCGGAGTCGAACTTTCCCAGCTCTTTAGCCGGCTTCGCCCTTTTGCAGAATAGAAGTAAAATCTCGAAAATTTCTCAAGCAATCTCGAGCCAGGTGATCTTGCTTGTTGAAAACAGCGTACGCTCCGCTGTGCACTCCCCCCGGATTTCTGAGAGCCAGATCGGTTTTCGGCAGTCGCTTTCCGTTCCGGTGTCATTTCGTAGGCTGGCTAGTGCTTACAGGCTCTAATAACTATAGTATCTATCTGTGCGTCATTACAAACCCTGTCCTCTACATTTTCACTTAGAGCAGAGGAAGTGGAGTTTTCCCTGTCTTTGGTGCTCATGCGCTCCCTTATCTCCGTGAGTTCCATTCTTTTACAGCCTAGCTGGTTACTGATATCCTCTCCCGCAGGGACAGTCCGGCTATGAACCACTGGTATACAAGTTCCGGGAGCACTGCTGGCATCTCTTCACCAATGAGTGGTAGTTCTCGACGTAGCTGCTTATCGATAGTTTCCCTTGTCTTGCTTGTGCCTCCTCAGCTTTCATCGCAGCGCATGGGGAGAGCTCCTATAGTCCGTAGCTCCTCCGGAACAGTGGTATCCTTGCTTAGATAGATACATTATTCTTTTGCCACACTTCTGATAAAAATGCCAAGAGCAACTGTGGCTTATTGGGTGCATTTCACAGGGGAAATTTCATCTCCACGGAAGCAAGGAAGTGCTTGATTGCTCCAGCGTCGCGACGACCGTTATTCTTCTGGACGGTCGGCAAAGGCGGAGGCAGTATTCATGAATTGCCATTTCTGTGAAGGCGTTTTTCCGCCTCATGGGACTCTTCGAATTCGACGAGGCGCTCAGCCGTTTGTCGACTCCCAACCGGGGAGCAGTTCGTCATCTATTTTCACTATGCGGCAGAGACGGGTTGAAGTTTTAACACAAGCTCTAGTTAGAGTACCTACTTCTTTCCCGTCCTTATTCCTGTTGCAAAGCAGCTTCGCTCCCACTCTGTGATATACACCAGGTTACCCAGATATGGTAATGGAGTTCATTTTTCCCAGCTGCCCTGATGAACCACCTTGCTTCCAAGCGTAGCGATGGCCTTCGCCCGCAGTGGAGGTACTCGACAATCTCCATTACGAGCGAACACTTGAGGCAAGGGTTCCAAAAACAAGTTTCCTTCCTCTACAGTCCCAAAGCCTCCTAGGAACAGAGGGTGAAGGGCCTCGGGCTACTGCGGACACGAGGCGGCCTGCCGTGAGCTACGGCGCACACCATGACGCAACTAGTGCTGCAGAACAACCCCGCATGCAAGCACAACCAAGAGCCCTTCTTGCTGATTGCTCTAACACTGTTGACAACTGTTGAACAACTACTTGGCCCCGAACATGCAGCCTGCATCCAAGGAGAAATGTTCGTACCACCTTCGGGCAGACCATGGCAGACCATGCAACACCACAGATTTGGAGGGACCTCTAATGGTAGGCAGAGCGGCATAGGTAGAAGTTGGACACAAATTCATTACACCGTAGAGAAACATAGATGAAGAATAGCGAAACTATTGAGTGGACAGCCACCGACACAAAGCAGCGTAAAAACGTCCACCCACCAAAGTCCACCGCTTTTATACGCATAATTTGGCCATCCATCAAAACCCTCGCCCGCCATTTCAAGTCATTTTAAGTTGATACAGATTACACATATTTCCTCTAGCCAGTTTTGAGCTCCAACATGTAGAGCAGGAATTACGGACTCATGGGAACTGCAGCAGTGGAGTGCGCTAGAGCAGCGCTGGCAGCCCCAGGCGTCTGACACACGCCTGCTCTTTTTTTAAAGTGAAGCAACCTTCGCTGTGTTGGCATGATGAAATAAGAAGGTAAACACTGGCGGCTGAAGGTGTGTGACTTAAGCGGTAGCGTCAGAGTAGGAGGTTGAGGGGAGGACGCTGGTTCTTGAGTAGGCGTTGCGTTAGATATGGAGACCTCTGGAAACGGCCTAAAACTACGGACACAGTTGCCGAAAACTGATAGAGGTGTTGTTTTTTATTGCAGCAGCAGTCACCTTGGCGACAGACGTCGAGGTTCGCGGCAGCAAGCAGTACGACGCATGCTGTGCGTCGCTCTCAAATAGTATCACCATGTCCCCAGCCGAAGCTGAGCCGCCTCAAGCAGGCGCTGCAGAAGCCAGTCCGGGGTCGGAAAGCACAAAGCCTGTCACAACCGCACCGCCATCAGCTCCATCCGGCCAAGCGGCTCTGAACTCTGAGGAGCCGGTAGCCGGAGCAGGCACGGCAGACAATGCATTGGCTGGCGCAGAAGCTCAGCGGGAAACCAGCTGCGGTTCAAGTGGCGTTTCTTTTGAGATAGCAGCTTCAACTACGGAATATCCACACCCAACATCGGCAGGAACAGCAGCACCGCGACCGACATTTGCAGCAGCACAGGCAGCAACCCCAGGACGCGAAGCGAACCTCACAACAGACAGCCCAGGGATGACTACAAGCGATTTTGTTGATGTCTTGTGAGTTAGCTATGCCGCACTCCGCTTGCTGCGTGCCCTTTGGTGGCGTTAGAGGTGGCCTTGGCTACTTCTTGGGTTCGTTCTGGGGGTATTCATGGAAGTGCCCTTGCACCGCGTCGTCTCTCAGAGTCTCTCGTTGCTATGGAACGTATTTTGTTTTCTTGTGGGGGTTCCAATACTAAGCGTACCCAGTCTCCACCAGTGTGAGGCGCGTTGTCTGTCTAGCGAATGCCTCCGGTGCTTCCTCTGGCGTTGCACTTGAACTGCACCAATAGTTAGATCCTCCTTATTATTTGCCTCTCGCATCATCTGGTCCTTTTAGGTGATATTCAGTCCTTCCAATGGCCTTCTTATTGCGCTGCACAGCCTCAGTGGATTGTCGTTGCATGCGTGCCCATGTGTGTATTCGCCTGTTACCCACTGACTTTGTGCTTTTGCCTGTGGTGTTTCTGCTTCCCTTGCACTTAAGGCAGCACGATCTGAATGCGGCAGTGCAGCGCGTGGAGGCCGGCCGGCTGTTGCTGGAGCGCCTGCGGGGAGCGCTGCTGCAGCAGGCCGCAGCTGCATCAGCCTTCGCCGCGTCCCTCAACGTCGCCGCCGAAACACTGAAGCCCCTCTCCACGGAGTCCAAGTACGTTGGGCTGATGGCAGATCGGCAGACAAGCAGAGAGGTGGCCCCATGACGGCAAAGGGTACGGAGTTGAGACGCAATGAGAGCTGCGTGGAAGCTTCCCACTCAAGCACGATGTGTGTGTGTTTTGCTGCATTAGGACATGCGCCGCCGCTGTCAAGAGTTACAGTTGTCTTTTGGGCAATTCGGCTGTCCAAGCCAAAGAGCTCTGCGATGCCTTACGCAGGGACGTCGTGGCTTCCACGCTAGAAAGGACGATTGAGAATCATGCTCAAGTTCTCAAGCAGGTCGCAACGCCTTAGATACGCTCCCGCATTCATGCATTTGCGTATATCCAACACTGTGTCGGGTAGAAAAACAGCTCAGGCGTGCTTTTAGGCACAGCTGTTTTCAGAAGGAGCGGCTCAAATTCCCCTTAGCTCTGCTTCCAACAGCGAGCCCCTACTATCAGCACAATTGGCCCTGCCGTGCACTGCTCAAGCCCTTGCTAGTTGCATATGCATTCTTTGTTTCCCGTTGCGGGCGCCTGCATGCACGCGGGGTAGGGAAGAATGGATTATTGTGAAGGCGTTCGGATCTGGCCTCCGAGTGGCTAGGCTGCGCTTTTTTCGCCGCGGTTAATGGTGTTGAATGCACTGCCAATTTCGACTGTGTTTCGGCCGGCAGGTGAAGTTAGATGCGGCGGAGGCCCAAAGGAGAAACCATCTAGCGGCAGTGGAACACCAACGGGTCTGCAGTGCACCACGCCGTACAGTGGCACCAGTAGAGGCAGCTGCGACCATCACAGTCCCGTCGGTGCTACTAGGAAGCGCACCGCCACTTGCAACCTTAAACAAAAACGTCAGCTCATTCGTATGTGGGTTATGTATCGTGCAGGCAATGGAAAAGTATCTGCGCTGCAGCAAGATGGCGGCCGCAGCAGCAGAGACAGCTCAGGCGTCGCTGTCGATGCTGCCATCGACTAAGACAGAACTGGCGCTCCAGTCGGTCTTCTGTCTACCCGCCCTTGCCGCTTTCCCGTGACTCCCTCGCACCTTGCTGACACTGCTGTAGTCTCGCCACTCGGTGCTGTGTTTCGTCTTGTTGTATTGACTAGCTTTGCTGTCCCTGCTGCTTGCCTTAGGTGCATCCGGCTGTGTGTGGAGGCTCGTCAGGCGGAGGAGGCCTATGTGGCCTCTGTGCAGGTTTGTCCCTTCTCTATCTAGTTTGTTTCCCCTCATTCTGTGTGTTGTCGTTTGCTTCGTGATTCTTGAAGACCGGAATGCGGCTTGCATCCGCTGTCGTTGAACACTGTTTGCCCACTACTGGTGCACGCCTTTGCGTGCACGCTGCATGTGCCCACTTCCCGGCTTTGGCCTTAGTTGCTTGAACTACGGGGTATTTTTGTATGTGCTTCTGCTTTTTTGTTCTCCTTGCACCTTACGATATCGTCAACCTCGTGTTTTTTTCCCCGGAAGTTTGTTGGCTGCGTGACTCGCGCTAAGTCGATGTTGCTGCAGCTAGTACTGGGAGCTGTCTCCTCCTTTGGCGTCACTGTACTGCCGTTATTTCATGTTCTCCTACTTCGTGCTTCCTTTGCCGGTGCTGCGACTACAGGCCTTGCAACAACGTAGCAAGGTGACGCGTGAGCGGGTGCAGAGTATTCTGTCTTGCCTGGAGGAGATGGACTTGAAGCGTATGCAGTGCCTGAGGGATGCTCTGACAAGGGCGGGAGTTTTTGTAGCAGCAAATCTCAGGCACATGCAATACGATTTAGAGCGCTCCATTCATGTAGGCAGCTCCTGGGGTTGTTGCTGGTGCTAGGGGTCCCGGTGCACTGCAGTGTGTTGCAATGCGGGCGCCTCCTGCTCCACCGTTACCTGCTGGCCCAGCGGTTGCTTGTGGATATGTTGCTGGTGCGGGGGCATGTTGAGGGGCATATATATATATATATATGCGGGCCCTTGTTGATGGCGCAGAGTGTTGAGGGAGTCGACCCCGAGAAAGATCTGCAAGATTTTGTTGATGGCCGAAGGCCCCAGACACCCCCGGGCCTTTCTCTCCCAACAGTCGTCAGTTCTTTCGTCATCACTTGGTTCTGCTGCCTCTCAGTCCTCTGCTGTACTTTTATGGTTCTCTCACCTCGTATCTTTGCCGTTGGAGGCATCTCGTCGCCTCATTTGTGGTCGCTCTTTCTGTTGCTCCTGTAGGAGAATTGGACTGTTTTAGACGCAGTGTATGGAGATAGCTTGCAGCCTGCAGTTTGCAGCGCCAATGCCAACACTACCTTGACACCACTGTCTTCTGCAACTAATGTGGCGAGGCAGCTGTTGCAAAAGTCTGCTCTGCAACGAGTCGTGCAATCTGCTGCAGTGAGCTCCAGCCTTCATATCTCCAGAAGGGCCTGCGGGCTTTGGTCCCTTATCCTTTGCTTTCTTTTTCCTACAACATCCATCGGTTTTATGAGCAGCTGCAGCCGGTGCTGCCATCCTTCGTTTGACTCGATCTGCTCCTGTGCGTATATGGCTCTATCGACGCCTGCTCTTGACAGTTGAGCAGTCCATGCAGCGTTGCGTGCTTCTGGCTGTTCCTGCTCTGCAGAGCTTAGCCGCGTACTCCATTGGAGCTTCGGATGCAGCCTCGTCAGAGGAAGTCGAAGGGCAAATTCGGGGGAGGACTGAAGCCCTGGCGGGGCTTCCTAGCCCTCCGGATGCGGCCGTTGTGCAACGACTCCACGATGAGTATTCTGAGTGCGTATACGTCGGCCTCCCTGCTGCGCTAGACCATAGGAGCATGGGTGTTTTTGCTGTATTTGTCGCCATATTTTCGGCCACTTTCTCACCGGGTTGCGAGGTGCCTCTTAGGTTCATAAATGCGCTTTGGACCCCTGTCACATCAACATCCAGTAAGGGAGTGTTGCTTCCTGGAGAGGCATGCACTGTGATGCTCCACAAGATGCCTTTGCTACAGGAGGAAATGACTTCCTCACTCCACCGAAGCACTTTTCTGTCAGCTCTGGTGTCGACGAAGAGGAAGCGAGCTAGAGAAATGCCGGATAGACAAGCCTTGCTGCCTTCCATGTAGGCAGCTCCGCAGTGCTGCGGCTTCATTTGCGGATTGTGCTGCCGAGTGTTGTGACTCCTCCAGGTCGTGCTGCTGCCCTGCCTTTGTGCAATTTTTTTCCATATGTGCTGGTTTTTGCCGCTGCCTATGTGGCTGCTGCCGTGTCTCGCTAGTGTTATGGTTCCGGTACCTCTTACTGCTTCATGTGCGTCTTGGTGTTGGAGTTGCCCGTGTCTTTGGTTTTGTTTGTAGCTAGTACTGAGTTGCTCTTCATGGGTCAGAATAATGAAGAGTGACGCTACGGCTGAGAGTTGTCCGTTGCAGGCTTCAACTGCGGCTCTTGGGAGTTTGCTGTGACTGGCTTTTGACAGCAGCAGATACGCAACTGGACGCTTGGGCTGGCAGGCAGCTGTTGCTGCTCGCTGTCGAGATAGCTGCATGTGGAACTGCAGTGGAGGACCCTCAGCAGCAGCAGCATTGGGACTGGAAGCAGGCGCTGGAACAGCAGCAGCAGCTTGCCAGCAGCTTTTGCTCCGATATAGAGTGCAAGAGGCAGGAGACAGGCTACGAGGACCACAGCTGCAGTGGCAGCAGCAGCAGTAGCAGGGATGATTCGATCGAAAGACTTGGACGGGAACGGGAAGCATCGTTAACTACAGTCCGATGGTCATTACACGTGAGGTTGCTGTGGCGCCGTTTCTGTTACATCTTGCGGTTGTTGTTTTGTTGAATGCACCAAGTGAATACAGAGAAGTTGCCATGCTGCTTGCGTGTTGCTTCTGCAGCGTTGCGTCTACCACCATCGATATTGGAATCGCGTGACATTCTGGGAAGAGGCCCTTGCGCTGACTGTTAGTGAAGAGCTTCAGAGACAGAAAGTGAGCATCTGGCTGTTTGCATGCGGTGTGGGGGTAGCGGATATCGACATAGGCATGGAAATGCATGCAGGCGATCAGATTACGAGTAGTACTCACGCGCGTGGAGCACGCACAGCTGCGTTACTGTGCTGCATACAGTCGCCGCACTACCGTGCGGCTCCCCACACCCAGCGTTAGCTAGCCTCTTTTCGATTGTGCTCTTGCGTGGATATGTACAGTTGTCTGAAAAGTGGCAAGCAGCGGGTCCAGAGGTGCTGCAGGAACAGGAAAGGCTTTTCCGGGAGAAGAACCCGTGCTGCAGTAGCCTCCCTTCGTTTGGTTCCTTCATGTCCCTGTATGGCATTGCAACAGAGCAGGTGCAGTCGCTGCTTATCTCGGTCTCTAAGCACCTTAATTTGGATGAGCAAACGAGCGAGATGCTGCTGCATGGAGTGGCGGATGTCACTTCTGCGCAAAGGCAAATGCTACCTGCCCATGAGGGCACGGGTAGATGCAGCAGCAGTAATGGCAACAAGACCAACAATAAAATCAGCAGTACCAATAAAGCGTCTAGCAGTTAGACAAGGCCTGCTGCTACGCGCGTCACCGGTGACGGCCTTTGGCGCTTCACTGGGTGGCAGCCGTTTTGCAGCTAGCCCTACCGCCGCTGGTGCAGTTTTCATTATACATTGTGCGCAGAGGCAATTTAGGAACAAAGGGATGCATCCGCATTGATGCCTATCTGAAAAAACACCCGTAAAAGGGATATTGGTTGCTGTGAGGTCGTTGTAGAGATTTAACATTTCTGGATTTGTTGCATCACCCTGTGGAGGATCTCCTTACTCCAGGCTCGCTTGTTAGTTCTTAGTTGATCTTGTTGTTGCTGGCTAGATAAAACATTGTAAGGCGCCTTAAGCAGAAAAGCAGCCGATGGCGCTGCTGTGCTTTTCAGGGAGTGTGCATTTCGAAGGTGCCTTTGGTCAGACTTCCGACAATAATGCCTTTAAAAACAGATTGATGCACTGACTAATGCATAATGCCGTATGGTCCATGAAGGCGAAAGCCGAGGATTTCCTTCTAAATTACCATATTTGGGGGGGAGACCAGCTAACAGGATGAGCCCGGACCCTAGGCAGGTTCAGACGCTTGCATGGACTATGCCGTCGCCTAAATGTTTAGCTTCCGTCGCCTAGACGGAAGCTAAACATTGTGAAGCCAAGATACATTCGGAAATAAAAACGGGCGATACTCCGTGCGGCAGCACAGGAGAAGACGTGACAACCAGGATAGCTGATGATAAAGGAAATCGCATGCAATCCCCTCATACAGCAGGGGATTTGCGAGGACTGGCGCTACACGTGCTTGAGCACTTTTCCGACTGCGGCTGCTCGATTGCCTCATGGGTTGCGAGGCGTTGGTGCCTCCGGAGTCGTGGCCTGGCGCCACTCTAGAATGTCCCTCCTCCATGCATCCCAAGATGTGGAATTGAACTTCATTTCGCAGAATTGTTCGAATAAAACTTCTTTTACGCATATCAGAAAACGGGCGGGAGGCCGCACGCATCGCCTGTAGTAGTTGAGCGCACTGTCGAGCATCTCTGCAACTTCATTCTTCTTAGAGGGTCGTACCCTACGAGAGTACTTTACCCTTTTTATGTGCCTAACTACATCCGTCCACCATGAATTTCTCCTGGAACTTTCCCCCAGTACTTCGGCAGCACAGAACAGCGCATCTAGTACGAGGAGGATTGTCCCTAGAGCTTCTATGGCGGCAACCATTGTTTTCTTTGGAACAGACGTGGGCATGCTTCCTGTTGCATACCCAACCAATCGCTCTGTGGCACGCAAAAGCGTTTTAAGCTCCGAGGCGGTAAGCTGTTCCTTCTTCAACAGAACCCTGCATTTTTCCAGTTGATCATGAGGGAATCTGCGCAGTAGGCGAAAAGACGCTGCCACAGGTCCTCTGAATCTTCTGGGGGCCAAATTGCTGTGGGGTTTTGGGTGAAAATAGAATGGATGGGTTTGGAGAGTTTCTTCAGGGAGGTGAGGGTACATGGCCTGAACCCAGCGAGGTGCCGCAAAGATGCCCATTACTGTTAGAGGCGGTGGCGAAGACGCCGGCTGAAGAATGCATACCATATCAGCTATGCATCATCGTTGCTGCACTTTTATTGTCCCACGGGAGCAAAAGTGAAATGGGTAAAGGGAAGAGTTACAGAGTATAACGGTGGAATTCGGAGGCAACCTCCAGTTGTGTATTCAATACTTGTCATACTCTATCGATCTCACGGCCGAAACCGAGACCCACCTGTTCACTGGCTCTTGCATGTGGTGTTGCCTGTGCCACGCCTTCAGGAAGAATGGTCATCTCGAAGGTGAACGCTGACGTCTCAGAGGACACTCTGCCCGCAATTGATGCACTTGAACTTGTGCCCAGTCCTGGATCAGGCGGTCCAAGCATTTGAGTTGTGGGTACCAACCCGCTTGCCGATCCCTATTCCACATCACGCATTCTACGTCTTCGTGCTCACCATATCTCACAATATGGGCAGGAAGTGAATAGGAGATAGATGTACTGGGATGGGATGGGAACGGTTGCTGAACTGTGGTCGGGGAACGAACCTGGCTTGTCGACATACTGCGTCCATCAGGGGTGGAAGCTTCCCCCAGGTACGGGAATCGCGGTAGCTCTGCAGAGGAGGCTCCTTGCGCTGCCCACCCCCCGGTAAGATCTTCACGATCACTTTGCCCAGTAAATGGCGCCAGGTTCGGAGGGCCAGACACCGCACCATCTGGCATCCCCAACGCGCGCTCTTCTCTGTGCCTGATCCACCCTTCGGGAGAAAAAGCATCGCCGCTTTCTGGTGACACAGAGCGGACGAATCCAAGATGCGTGGAAGTGGCATGTTGTGAATGGCTCACTACTGACGCTGCACTTCGTTTTATGCCAACAGTGCTTGAAGGCTCTCCTGCAGCCACTACGTATGCTGAAGGCTCGGAAGGCAACTCCGGGAAGCCCTCAATGTCTTCCTCAGACTCTTCAGAGTCACTTGACAATGGTTCCGTCATTTCGGATACTTCATTTTTATCGGGAAATAAAGTGGGACCAAGTAACGTGGTCTGAGACAACAAAGGGTCAACGGGTGAATCGAGTTTTGTATCAAGAGGGGGAGCAGGCACCGATACAATGCCCTCCAGCGATACCTGCACTTCGAAGTGCTTGGGTACCCCATCTGTATCTCCCTCTCTTCTTGGTTTCCTGCTAACATCTGCCGCAGTGCCTCTCTCTAGCTGCGTTATCACCGCCGTGAAAGCCTGTTCCTTGTTGGGTCCAAGGTTTTCATCCGCGTGTGGAAGCTCCACAGTCTCTGGTTCAGCTTGCTCATATTGACGCTGTGATGTCGACTCTTGCCCTTCCGCAGGAATGGTGAGGGATTCTAGAGGGTCTTCTGACGTCGTTGGCGGCTTGCACCAGTCTGCCTCGTTATCCTTGTCTCCACTGCTGCCAGCCAGACTGCGCTCTTGAAACCCTGTAGATATTCGCCTTCGGATAGACGCACTGCACATGTATACAAATAACATGACGGCGGTAATTGCGAAAAACGTAACGAGAGGCAACAGCGCCTTTGGAGTTCCAGAGACCAGCCTGGCTCGGGGGGGCAGCTCTTTTCCCGACAGCGCAGCCCTCCCGGACCAGGCTGATCTTTGCAACTCTCCTGTGCGACGTTCTTCATTAAATCCACTAAAAAATTCCAAACTTGGATGCTTCTGTGTCTGGTACCACGCAAGAGGCGAAAACACAAACTTCTTGCGTGCCGCCATAGGTTCTTTGTCAGCGTGCTGGTTTGAAGCTGGAAGCATTCAGACATTCCAAGACAGGGGCTGGAATAGCCGCTCCTGATGACCGCGGAATCTTAATACAGATAAGGAGGAATTAATGGCTGCAGGGGTCCAGCAACCAGTGTTCAACTCGTTCCTCGTGCGGGGGGTGCTGGGCGACGCGCATTTCTCTGATGTGGGCTTCTTCACACACGCTGCCGCACGCAGCAGGATTTGTCACGACAGACATCTGTAGCCGTGGAACAACCATATTAAAAGAATTTATTTAAATTTCATGTATGAAAATCCCGAAACTAAGAAAAACGCGGAGGTGATGGTGAAAACATGCCAGCCACGCTTGTAGATCTGCAGATCAAGGTCTGTGACGGGTTCCGACAGCACATCCGTCGTTTCTTTAAAACAGAATAAACATGTGAAATTATTTAACGCAATCAATATATAGACCACCGACAGACAGAGCCCTAGTACAAGTGGCTTTTGCAACGGAATAAAGGCAGCCGACAGTGTCCCCTCCACGAGAACCGCCTGGCTCTTAGAGTGCGAGCAGCTTTTGGGTTATTATTTTCCATCTAGGCTTGCATGGATCTCTACAATTTGTTAACTTGAGCATATTTTCAAATAACTTGCCTGGTATTCTCCTGGAACCGAAGCCAGCTCAGGCGCTTGTCCGGAATGTGCCGCCTTGCACAAGCGCTGCTGAGACGGGAGCCTGCACCTCTGGAGTGAAGCGCATTCGAAAACAAACGCTGTCAATACAATGCTCGGTGTGCATTCACAAGAAAGAGGGTAGAAACAGGATGGCTGACTATTTAAAACGAGACTGCGTGCGATCTCTTCACACAGCGTGTTTCGTTGGTGACTTGCGAGACCTGGCCCACACGCTAGCACGGGCGAACCTAGCTAACTGTAACTCCTCCCCAATAGAATTCTCGGCACATAGCCGAAACTTCTAAACACCAGTTTTAGGTTGTCGGGAGTTCTGCTCACCTAGATAGAAATGCCTATTCGTCGCAGCGCCGGGCGTAGCACTCCGCAACGTGCGCCTCACCGCTTAGCCCTGTTTTAGTGCGCAGGCTCGAAGGGTAATCACTTTGGGCCTCTAGAGGTCTATGCGTCAGAGAGACCACAAATAATATATTATTAAAAATAAATCAAGCAGCATTATACAGGAGGTAAGGCTGTCACTCCAAGTTTGCTCTTCAGCTACGGAGGATCTTGTGTTGTGTGACTGGCACTGCTACAGAGGTCTCGACTGACACAGGCTCAGTCAGCATCGGGGCTATTGCTACAGCTCTCCCTCCTCTGGCGGATTGGACCCGGATGCGAATGATAAACAGTTCTTCGATGTTTTAAGGTTATTTTAAGGTTTTTTTGTTGAGTGTATTGTATATATCTAGTGTGCACCTAAATAGGCATACATAGGACCGATCAGTAGCGACAGCCGAGAGCCCTGCTTGGGGCATTTAGGGTGGAGCCCCCATCAGAAACCCGCCTTTTCCATTTATGTTGTTACATTTTAAATTTTAACTGCTTTAACTGTTTCATTCTGGTTCCTAGAGCAGTTAGGGGACGCGTCTCTTGCAAATAGTACACCGCATGTGTAGCACGCGAGTTGTTTTTGTGGCTTTCGTTTGCACACTACGCATTGTAGTTCCATACACTACAAAAGGTTCTATCATGGCTCATTTTTATTTCTTTCTTATTTGTCTACTTATATGGACGCTGGATACTGAGGGCCGAGTAAATGTTTAACCAATTCTTCACAGTGTTTGTTTACTCATCACAAGGCGCTTGGTTATTCTTGCATAAGGGAATGGACTGCAGCAGGAGCTACAACAATGAGTACTGAAAGCCTTGGCATGCCACCTACTCTCCGCAACCGCCCGACGTCCTTGTGCCGTTGTGTCCCGAGAGCTTGGATATTCCCAGCGTTTCGACTCGATTGTGTTCCATGATGGTCCTCCACTGAGATCATGAACCCCCGTTGCACGAGGGCATTAATCTCAATCTCTACTGGGGAATTACTATTTATTAGATCGATAGACGCATTCGATGCTTCGAATCAAACTTGGACTGCCTTACTACTCGTGAATGTGGGCTCACAAAGGCCTTTGCGCTTCGGCAGTATACCATCCCTCGCAGCTAGCCTTGAACGAGAAGCCCCGATCATACGCGAGTGCCGCCGTGAGTGCAATGGGGTCAAAGAACAAAATATGGGAGCTCCCAAAAAAAACAGCCTCACAAGCTTACCTGCCCTACAATGCGTCCTCGGCTTCAAAGCCTGCTCCGGGGTTGGTGAGAAAAGGTTGCAGCAAGCAGCATACTTGGCGTGCAGCCCAAAACCTCCCTTCATGCATGCGCTAACGCTGTACATACATGGCAAATACTTATTTGACCTTCAACAGCCAGCCAGAGCCCACGTAGAAATACATGTACCAATGGAGCATGCTACAACCAGGCATACAAGCGAATCAAGACCCAGCTAAATTCCTTCCTAGTGCAAGCCCAATGCTTTTCCACTACAGCATACTCTGCTAGTGTCCTACAGCGGGACCTGGTATTTTTGCAGCTCACGGTTGTGGGAACCGCTACCGTATTCCCCAGGGGCATATGAATATAGTGGATCTTTTTGACGTCATATAAGGGGCTCCTCCTCAAAGTGTCAGCTAACCGCCATTGAGCTGCAATCAGTGACATGCTACAATATTTGTAGACACTGGAGAGATCGGCGAGACTTGCTGCACTGCGTAAAAGCTGCGTAAGGGGGGTGTGAAGCAATACGTTGCAGCGATTGGCCACAAGCAAACCGGCAGTTTTTGCAGGGAAAACCCTCCACGAGCTCCGGAGTCATATCTTGCGCACACGGTGGCAGCACCCGTAGTAAGAAAAACACCTTCCAAGGGAGGCACCGCCTTAGCTAGGCTGGAATTTTTGCATGGATTTATTCCAAGACACACAGGCGCCTTTCGGTTGTTTCATAGTTGCCGGATTGAGGGAGGAAATGGAGGGAGGGGGGCGTCAGACTCCCGATGCGAACGAGAGAGAAAGATCGTCAAATCCGGAGGCCGTAAGGGCACGGGGACAAAAATAAGCAGGAAAATGCATTAAAGACAAACATACGATATCAAATCAACACTTTCAGTAAAATGCTCTTCGCCATTTCTGGGTGCCGCACGGAACGTCTCATCGGCCGCTGCGTAAAGATGCGCTCGCAAAGGCGTTGTGTCAAACGATCTGCACAACGTGCAGCCAAGCCTTATCTGCACAGGAGAAGAGGAACATCTAAACATCAGCTAAGCAATTTCGTTGCCGAAGTATAGGAAAATGTTACAAATTAGCACTTCCAACCAGCCCTATCGAGAGACCTGTGGGATCAGTCGCCAAGGGGGAGTGTATGTGGGATGCTGGCTTCTCTTCCGTTGCGTCGAAATAGAAAGCAGTTCCACTCATATTTGGATTCACGCTGATCCTGAACTTTGAGTTCCCACTCAAATAAGGTGGCTGCCCAGTGATAGTTAACATTCCAGCCAAGCAACTGCTTCGCTCTTGTCGGATCCTCCGTTAGTACCTTTACCGTCCAACAGTCCTTACTAGGTGGCCGTAATAAATCAGCTGGCATCAGTGTATTGATTACAGTTCTCTCCCGGAGAAGTCGTTAAGCCATTCCGAACCTGCATTGCATTGATAAAGCCAGTGCTTGAATGATTCATTCCTGCCATCCTAATGCGTCTGAGCCAACAATATTTTCGAAGCCAAGTAAAGGCGAACTACACCTTGGTGCAGACTACCTGCGGACTTCCTCAGTATTGCATCAGAGCTATTTGGAGAAGAATAGAATATGACGCCTGACCCACGAAGGGCCAGTCAGGAAACCAGAAGCAGTACTCCTCCTTCTTTAGGAGGACTACACCACCGATACGAATAAGAAACTGTTCTTTGTGTGTTCTTGCGCTGAGTGTAACGCTTACATATGGACTGCACATAGAGTCGGCATGTAGTGACATCCGTGAGCACTGTTTACTACAGGTGACAGTATCACCTGCATATCGTACGTGAGTCAACCCTGTGTTAATCCAAGTTTGTATTGATTCTCACTCGTTGCTAGCACTACTTGAGACAGGATACGAAGTTGACCTGATACCTGAAACTACGGCGAGGAGGTACAACCTGCCGTTCTCTTCATTGGTGCAGCTGCTGTGACTGCGTTTCCCCGGGAAGGCCACTCGAGGATCGTTAAAGCTATGAGCGCAACATGGGTGCTCAATCCAGATCTGGGTCATATACCATGATACGCGTTATTTATGTTTAACCAGTTCACCACGAGATAATCCTAGGCATGCTGGGGGTAACCCAGTGGAGGGCGCGCATGCTGCCTCCAGCTGACCCCGTTACGGGATATGTTTTGGGAAACGCTGAGCGAGTGTGTCCCTCATGAGGCCCAATTGCATCTTCAGCGTTGCGAGGGAGAGAAGAAGTGTTTCTGCGAAGAAAAAAGCCAAGACGCTCCTACGGAACGCAGAGGCGTTCAAGGATACGGAAAAGAAATGCATGCATTCCCCTCCTATGCCCTTTATGAAGACCACCGCTTGGGGATGTTCGATCCAGCAGACACCAGAGAAACAGCAGAAGTAGGCCCAATCAGTGGAGTCGTTCTCAGATGTACTGAATTACGATCAACTACAAGCTGACCGGTCGCCCGCTGGATGTTCAATGCCCAACGCATATCGCACTCACTCCTGTAGGAGCCCCAAGATTGGTCCCAAGGTACCGGCAACTCCCAAGCCTTCAAGGGGAGGACAAACGGCAAGCAGACGAACTACCAAGAAGAGGCTAAGTTTAATGTCAACTAGCGCGTCTGGACAACATTTCGGTGTGGGTGGAGAACAAGGGAAAGGGTCGTGCGCGCTGGCTTCAAAATCCTAAACAAACTCACAATGAAACAAAAGTTTACGGTGCCCTTGACAGACGAACCACTTAACGGC